TTCCAAAATTGGGTTATATGTCATTTTTTCCTTGCGTCTTTGTGTGTTCATTCAAATCTTTGAACTTTCTTAAAAACTTTGATTTCATTACATAAATAAGACATTATTTAGCAAAATCATGTGTTTTTGCCCCAAGCAAAAACTCATGAAAAACACACTTGATAAAAAATGCAGGACTGCATGTTATTTTCGTGCACCGGTGCGTTTATTAAAATCATTCACCTTTCTTAAAAACTTTGATTTCATTTCATAAATATGATATTATTTAACAAAATCATGCGTTTCTGCGCCGGGCAAAAACGCATGAAAAACACACTTGATAAAAAATTCTGGATTGCATGTTTTTTCCATGCGCCTGCGTAATTTCATTCAAATCATTCAACTTTCTTAAAAACTTTGATTTCATTTCATAAATATGATATTATTTAGCAAAATCATGCGTTTAAATTTGATCAAATATTCAAAGTTTGAAATATCAAGGTTAACTCCATCTGGTTGCAAAGATATAGAGATAAGAAAGTTTGAGCTTGGGGCAAAACTCCATTCCTTTGCAACAAAAAGTATACAATGTGTCGTTTAAAGTAATAAATACAGGCTTACTGGCACATGGTGAGACTGGCCTTAAAACTTTGTAATTCAATGAGCATAAAGTGGAAGTTTTTTTATTATATTTTTTCAATGATTTACAGAATAATTTGGAAAATAGAGAAATAATTATGCACTTTACAGTTAAAGGGAACCAGGGGAAAAACGATCAAAGATAAATCCGACAACATCTCATAATCAACTCAAGTCAGAACTGCGGGAGCAGAAACTTGCCTCAGTTTAAATATTTTGTTTAGACATTTTGTAGTTGGTTACAGTCATCGTAGGCCACAAAGTGTGTTTCTTAGTTTCAGTAAAAACTATTCTAAATTTTGTTTTTCTACGTATATAAAATGTAATCGAAAAAAAGCCGTAATATAAAAAATTATCAAAATTTTCTGTCATCAAATATAGAAAAGTTTAAGCTAAACAGTAAATTATCAAAATTTTACTGTGTGTAAACAATCTAGATGCTATAACTTCAATGATAACTCTACTCAAAGTCTAATTAGAACATATCTAACTCTATCTCTTGCCAAAACTCAAGGCTCTCTATTCTCAGCCAATACTCAAGGCTCTGTATACGTCCGTATTAATCAACGAATAGGTTTACATAACGTTAACCGTAAAAATTCCAGTTTACATTTCATAAACCGGAAATTTTAACACAATGTTAGACATAGAGAGCAATGTTAAGACATGAAAAGTTTAAACTTATTAGTTGAGAATTTAGAGATGTCAACGTTTTGATTTTCTAGAATTTAGCTTTCATTACAGTAGTGGTGATCAAAAGTATAAACATTTGAAACGTTATGTTGCACATTATGAAATTTTATGGCAAATAGTAATTTTATGTAATGAATTTTCTGTGCTTGAACACCTTATTCAACGTTAAGCTTTAGTAAATGTTAGTGCAAAAAAGTAAGCTATGTTACACTTTTGCATTTCCTGTTTTAAAAAACTTTCCCAATGTTTCCTTAAAGCTTTTGTAATATAATCACAATTTTTTAACGTTCCACTTTCATGCAAGGTAAATATTTTCAGAGACCTTACGTTACACTTTAACTTGGTTTGAAAACTAAAAGGTGACAAATGCTTTGCTTTCATAAAACGTCCTTGGGGCATAGTTCTGCACGTTGCAATGCTTTTCAGCAGAGGCGCAACTAGGACTTTTGCTGGAGAAGGGCAATATATTCTTTTGTAAGGGTCAGGGGGGAGTTAAGGGGGTGTTTCCCCCCTTTTTCGAAAATTTTTCAAAAACAAAAGTGCTTTTTTAAGGGTTTAAAGTCGAAAAAAGGAAATTTTAAGTTCTTGCATGCAGATTTGGCTGTGTTCAATTCAAATCGATTTTTTATTCTTGTGTTTTTACCAAATTTATACTTCCAACAGCTGTAAAATGAATGATATGAGTCAATTCATTGAATATGTGTGCGAATCCCAAAAGAGTATTTTTTAAGTACCTGGTTTAATTACAGATTAAATTGCAAGAAATAATCATTTATAATTTCTGAAAAAAAAAACATAAAAATACATAGGTAAATAATAATTTCAATCATCTACATTGAAAAAGGACAGATAATGTTACCTTTTCTCTTGAAGTTATTGAATAAATTATTGATCTAACCAACATTCATAATCTAAATTCATTTTCGATTTTATGGAACTTCTGTCAAAGAAGATAAATCTTTTTTTGAAATCTAAATATTTATTGTCTTTTTAAATTGTACAAAATAGTTTACATGTAATCGACAAATTCGTTTACATTTTTTTTTAGATTTGTGAAATAAATACAAAATTGTTTACATGTGTTTACATTTTTTTTGATAGATCTGTATCAAGGTTAAATACGTACATTTCTTAAATTAGAAATTTGGACTTAAGGATACTTGGATCCTGCAAGACATATAAATTGAAGAGTGTAACAGTGAAGTCGTAGAGAATTAAAATGCATATAATAATTTTAAACAAAAAAGAAACACAAATTTTAAACGATTTTTAATGGCGAATTTCAGGGCGACAGTCAACCATAAAGGCTGGGGGGTCTGAATCTATGAGCGTCCCACGCCCCTCCCATTAAAAAAGGCCTTAGAGAATAGGTATAAAATTAAAATGCATAATCATAGACCATTTTTCAACGCCAGCTCATTGAAAAAAAATTAGACAGATAATTCTAATAGTTTGGGCTCTAGGGAAGGTTGAAAAAAAGCCCAAAAAAAGGTAAAATTGTATTTTTTTTAAACAGATATCCAATTGTGACACATGTTTTTTAAATCCATTTTTTAAGGAATTTTTAAAAATATAATTTTTAGATCTGTAGCTTTAGTCACAAAAAAGTTAAGGGCCATTTTAGATTTTTTTACACAGAACGGACTTTTTACCGCCCTGTACCCTACCCTATGCATTAAAAAAATTGACAGAAAAATCCTTTAACTATTCATTAAAAGTCACAAAATTTCACGGTAATAGTGACAAAAATGAGAGTGCTAGGACAAAAAAAAACTATAGGGCCGGCCAAGCCTGTTCAGGATTAAAAGCTAAAATAGTTAATGGGTAAGGCCTAGTTTTTATCAAACTTCTTTAAATAAATTAGTAAAAAAAATACTCAACAGATTGACCTCGAGAAGTAAAACATATTCAATGACCTCTTAAAATGACGTACAAGGGGTAGTACAGTTTTCAGCTTTACAGTCTGTATGAACAATCTATTCTAATTTATCTAGGCGTTTCACTCAGTTATCCTGGGGCTGAGTTTAAAGCTGAGGATGAAAATGGAGAGGTTTGGTTTAAATTTGAGGATGGAAGTTAAGAGGTTGAGTTAAAAGCTGAGAATGCAATTTAAGAGGTTGAGTTTAAAGCTCAGGATGGAAGTGGAGAGGTTGAGTTAAAAGCTGAGAATGCAATTTAAGAGGTTGAGTTTAAAACTGAAAATGCAAGTTGAGAGGTTGAGTTTAAAGATGAGGATGGTAGTGGAGAGGTTGAGTTTAAAGCTGAAGATGGAAGTGGAGAGGTTGAGTTTAAAATTGAGGATGGAAGTTAAGAGGTTGATTTTAAAGCTGAAAATGGAAGTGGAGAGGTTGAATTAAAAGCTAAAGATGGAAGTGGAGAGGTTGAGTTTAAAAACGAGGATGGAAGTGGAGAGGTTGAGTTTAAAACTAAAGATGGAAGTTGAGAGGTTGAGTTTAAAGCTGAGAATGGAAGCGGAGAGGTTGATTGTAATGCTAAGGATGGAAGTGGAGAGGTTGAGTTTAAAGCTGAGGATGGAAGTTAAGAGGTTGAGTTTAAAGATGAGGATGGAAGTTAAGAGGTTGAGTTTAAAGCTGTGAATGCAAGTGGAGAGGTTGAGTTTAAAGCTGAGGATGGAAGTGGAGAGGTTGAGTTTAAAGCTTTGGATGGAAGTTGAGAGGTTGAGTTGAAAGCCAGGTTCAATCTTATTTCAACATTGTGACGTACATCATGCAAATCAAATAATCTAAACAACAAACACAATTATTTTACAAAAGATTTTCTCTAAAAAACGCGGTAAATGTTTTTAAATGAAGGCACAGATTTTACAAAGAAGTTTAAATAAGTTATAGAACAAATTTGAGGATCTGAGGCCGAATTTTAAGAATTTGAGGCGCGGCTCAAATGTAGTTGGTTCCACTTAAAATCGTTTCAAGATTTGGGCCGTCGCCCAATTGAAACCGGTTTTTGGGAGATATAAGACGNCTTGATTGATTAATAGATGAAGGTACAGCCTACAGGTTTGTTAAAAAAGGAACAAAAAGAAAAATGCATAGATTTGTCAAAATATTATTTCATACTTGACATGATTAGGAATAGTCAATGATCGGAAATTAACGCAAGTTAAGAACAAAAATGAATTATTAGGAAAGTTAAAATGCATGTAAATTAGGAACAATATTATAACTTTAATTGATGAGTAAGACACATTACCATATGTATATATGAAAGTTAGATAGGAACATATAATATAAGTTAAATTTCTTACAAATATCCACATTTAAATAAATAGCGCTTTGCGTGCGATGTTTTTGTTTCTATTTTAGAATTTTTGTTCCTATTTTCAGATTTTTTTATCTTAAAAAATCTCGCCCCCCCCACCCCTCGGCTGAAATCCTGTGTCCGCCCCGGCGTAAACGGAAGATAGTCTACAATCTTGTTTAGCAAAAGTATTGAATTTAGGGTCTAGAATAGCGAGGAAATGCAGGTGGCCACAAGCCACAATATTTTTCCCAACCATGCTTTTTGTCTTGCGGCAATTACTATGGAAGGGGAAATGATGTGGCTCATGGCCACCTGCCTTCCCTCACTCTCTCTTCTAGGTTGTAGGGTTTTAATTACAATAAATACAAAGAAAAAAAATCATTATCATATTTTTGGCTTAAAAAAAGTACAGAATTTTTCGTATATTTTCAAAAGTAATTGATATATAAAATATACCTTGGATGAGAAATATAATGAAATGATATTGCTCGTTCACTACAGCAGTCAAACCCTTAACAAATTTGTGAACAGGGTTGCCAAAAAGAACGAAACTTCTGAGACGACTGTTCGGAATTTATACTGTCAGATTCATGATTCCGTTTTTACGGTGAACTTGCTTCTCTCTCTACCAAATCATTAAGTAAAAGCAAATTAAAATCTTAGAATTTAAGTATTAAATCTTAATTTAATCTTTAACCAATAATTAGTTTTAAACTTTTAAACTATAGCAGCCTATGAATATACTTTGCTAGTCTGTTTGTTTTCAACCGATCGATAAACGTTAAAACAGCTGAACCGATCAGGCCCACATTTTTTATGGAACCTAATCTAATCCCAGGAGAGATTATGGATGGTTAGAATTGAACAAATTTAACTTAACAAATTTTGAATTTTCAAAATCCACGAAAAACAACGACAACAGAGCAACAATTAAAAGTTTATAAGATGGGCGCGAAATGCCCTAGAAGCCGAGTCATGGAAGTTTGTAGTCAGATTTTGACTCCACTGGAGACCACCGGAGGGAATTCTTTTTCACTGGAGGGGGTTTGAAAAAATGCTTTTTACAATTCAAAACTTTACGCAGGGTGATTTACATTCCACTGGAGGGATTCAGATGTCCTTCCTGGGGGGTTATAATTCCACTGGAGGGATTCAGTTATCCTTCCAAGGGGTTTATAATTCCACTGGAGGGATTNAATCACTCTGCGTAAAGTTTTAAATTATAAAAAGCATTTTTTAAACCCCTCCAGTGAAAATAAAATCCCTCCGGTGGTCTCCAGTAGAATCGAAATCTTACTACGAACTTCTTTGAGTCCTAGAAGCCTAGTTCTGAAAAACATAAATACAATATTCCGTCAGTCGTCACAAATATCGGCTTCCTTTCAGAATATTAAGAAGAATCTATTCAAATATTTCAAAATTTTATGTTCAAGACCGAAATACATTAGCCCAGATATTTTGTCAAGCTTGGGCCTAATTTTTTAAGTTGATACGCAGTAAAGTAGGAGAGAAAATATCATCATCTATATCATCAAACTGTCAGCTTTTTTAAACTTGTCGAAAACTATATTGAAACTGGTGATAAACCTGTTAGTGGTTTTTTCATCATATATGTAGACATCCAGCTACCCTCAGTCAGTGTCATCATTGACCAAATGTGAAGAGGGATAAAGGTTTCTTCATCTCTCTAAAATATGAAAGGGAGTGTTTGCGAAAAAATTAAAGGGGGTATAGGCTTACGTCGAAAAATTATCGATGGTGATCGCTACTNAATTGAATATAAAACAAAAATTAAACAATTTTACATAATGTCACTTTTATGACGTTAACAAATTTTTATTACCAAATTGTCACTTTTTTGTTGTTACCAATTTGTCATTACCAAATTGTCACTTTTGTGAGCTTACCAAATTGTCATTACCAAATTGTCGATACCAACTGTCACCTTACCAAATTGTCATTACCAAATTGGCATTACCAAATTGTCATTACCAAATTGACATTAACAAAAATCCGCCCATCCTATTCCGTCTATAAGGAGAAAATTGTTAAAAACTACTCATACTGAAGAACGTAGCGTTCATACAAATTCAGACCGTTACAACATTCGACTCGGATCGTAAAAAATCAATTTAATTACAAACAAATCATTCAGATATTTCAACCTATAATCATCGATCATTTTTCTACGCATTTGTATATAGTTCATATTTCAAAATATTTTTGTTTTGTTTCATATATACTATGTATATAACAATTATTTTTTGACGCTAGGTGTCGTTGGAGTCTCTTTCACGAGGAACTCCAGAAGCATCAAGAGCAGAGACACCTAGCGGCCAAATAAACCAGAGTTTACAGAGCCTAAGGAAACCATTTAACCTAATATGCTCCATAGAAGAGATTGGGAATGTTTCATTTGGTGTACCGTCCAGTTTAGCATTATATAGATTATTTAGTCTGCATGTAGTACTAGCTGTACAACTTACTCTAGCTGTGTAATTAAAAGATCTGTCCAATACTTCAAATAAAACGGAGTTTACTGTATTAAAGGGACTGTAAGCGTAATTTTTAAGTGACCTTCCATTTAACATGGTACCCTTTAAACCTTTTTCTGATCAATCACGTGGACGACATTGTAGTTTTTAAACACATTCATGCAGAAGTTTTTTTTGTAGAGAAACCACAATTTAAAATGATAAATTTTTCAAATTATGTACCGGATGTCTAATTCATACTTAATGTAAAACCTTAATGTCCCTAGATACGGAGGGATGAACGCCTAGCCTGGAAAGACACCAGGCCATTTCAGCATCTTCTCTTCCATCCTGGTACAGAGCTTTATAAATACAATTCAATTCTACGATTTGATTCGTTAACAACAAGGGCTATTTTTTTTTTATTAAATCCCCCCGCCCCTTATTTATCCCTTAATATAGAAGTAACTATTTATATTTTTACTGTACAAGTATGTATTGCAAAATTCCTATTTTTTATGGGTAAAATAAATCAGTGTTTGACAAAAAAAATAAGAAATAGATGTAGACAGTAGACACAGCTTGAAAATGATGATGACTGTAAGACATTGATCACCATGGATTTAATAGAAAAGGGGCAAAAGCTTAAAGGGTAAAACAGGTAAAGGGAGCCAAGAAATTCTCTTATGAGCTTTTGACAGGCCAGGTGGCCAAACGTCTCGTAGGCTAGGGGGCTAATCAATAGTTTATTACAGACTAAGCTTCAAAGACCATAACTAGTTATGGTAGAACAGGGGGGTGGATTTCACTTAAAGGAATCATGAGTCTTTGCCACAAACTCTGATTTTCTAATCCTTAGACGTTTACAACCCGATTTCTTAGACATTGTTCAAAAATTCTGGTATATCAAATAGTTTTAGCTTGAAAAAAAGGTTTACACCATCAAATCTAGGGATTATGAAATTTAAACTTGTAACAAAAACTCAATTTTTTTTGAATTTATAAGAACAATTTTAAATCTGTTCATTATTGACAAAGTGACCTCTCTTTTGCCAGTGGGATTTTATATTGAAGCACCCAAATTACGGTGTGTCCCGATAAAAACCCGTTAGTGGTAGCTAGAGCCTCAATTTTGAACCTATATTGACAATTTTGGTAATTTTTGATCTCTAGATCTTATATAAATTTAAGTTTTGGATTTCCCCTCATGCAAAATAAGGATTCATTGATGAAATTTAGACCCTAAACTAAGTAACTTGAACCATCTTGAACAAAAAATTAAAAGCGAGGTGGTTGACTTGAACCCTGCAATTTAAAAAACAGTCATGATGGCGGCCATGACCTAGTAATTGAAATGTTTTACTGTAAACATTCATAATAAAGAGCTTTAAAATTTTGTTAATACTGCTAGAAATGATATTTGTAGTAAAAGCGTATTTAGGTTTTTCTCTAGATTTTTTTTGGCTCCAGAGGAATTCCGCATTTGAAACTTCAATAAAGTTTACAACGTTCGTTTACAAATTTTTAGTTGATATAAAAAATGTCAAAATTCTCAATATTGATCCAAAATATTGAGGATCTATAGTTACCACTTCAGTTTTATTTTGACACCCTGTACTCTGTAGGCTTCAACGAATATAGTGATATTATACTTACATCTTGCTCTTTTTCATTCAAAATTCAGGGGTAAATAAGGGTAATAGTACATGTTATCAGATTTATTAGTAATTGAATCGGAAATTTTCTGTGGATATTGTAAATATCGAAGGCTTGATCTAGCCATCAAAGGTAGATACTTTTAAAGGATCTGAATTTTTGCCACGCACTCAGATTTTCAAATCCCTTTTTCTTTGTAACTTAATACCGTAGATCTTTGATATTTCAAACTATGAATTCAGGAAGATCGAATAGTCTAAAATTTCACCATTAGATTTAGGGATTAGAAAATTTCATTGTGTGGCAAAGACTCAATTCCTTTGAGGATAAATGCTTGATCACTCAACAAAAGTTAGCCTTACAGGGTATGACCATCAAGGGATATGAAAGAGAAATTTATGGAATCCGTAGATCTGTGGAAGATTGAGATCAAGTCTTGATACTGAGATAGAACACAGAAGTTCAGACTAATCAAATTAAAAAAAGGATTGATTTTTTGTTGCACTCTCCAGCTTAAGGAAATGCTAATTTCTTTAAAATCATAAAATTAAAAAGTGTTCGACACAAACTCTAACTTTCATCCCTACATCTTTGCAACCAGATTTCGTAGACCTTTCATGTTGTATAGTATATAAACTCTCTTTAATAACCTAAGCATGAAATATCAAAGTTTAAATTAATCAGGTTGCAAAGATACAGGAATTAAAAAACTTGACTAATAAATTCAGCACAGTCTGAAGTTATAAACACATGAAAGATTTCAACGCTGGGGAGTAGGGTGCATGAAGAAATTATGCAGTTTATGTATTTATCCTCACCTTTTTAGCATTGATTTACAAATTTTAATGGATTTTTACGTATGATAACAATGACTATTATCATTAATTTACCCCTACATAAGCTTTTATTTGTAAATGCTTCAGTCACTACAAGTTCAACAGCTTTTCTAAACACAATATATATTCATTAATAAATTAGACTTTTGTTTAAAATAATGTAGTTTATACCAATTTATTCAATGGTACCGGTATGAATCAGACAATACCCTCGTTACATGGAAATTATGCGTTCAGTTCCTTTGAGCGTGTATTTCTAAATACTGATATGCAAGTTTAAAATGAAAGTGAAATATAAATTAAATAATTAAATGCTATTTCAATATCTCATGAATTTCGTATTTTTTTTGTTTTATTTGTGTAGTCCTTAATCATGCTGGAGCTTCAAAATACTTTATTTTGTCATTAACATGTTTATGGGTATTTTAACAATATTATTGTTGGGTTTGAAATCTACTCACAAAAGTTGTTTCCAACCTCCTGAGGCTAAAAGCGGCCGTGATTTCTAGTTTTTCTGGGTAGTGACAGTCGTGTTAAACTACCGCACCAGTCAAATGTAGGGTTTTAAGATAAATTCAATTATACAAAAAATCTAACCTTTCAGGGTTCTCCCGGGTACCTTAGGTATTATATTCACGAAGAGAACAAAATATTTTGTGTACATCCTAAAAAGATAATTCCGTATTCCCATTTTTCTAAAAATTGCTCTTAAAAACACCATATAGTTGTCTGAACTGAACAAATAAACTATAAGGTCGGATTCTACAGGTCATTGGCAGACATAAAGTGTTCTTCTTCAAAGCTTGAAAATGGTAGGATATCACGGGAAATGAGCATTGAAAATATTATCTTGAGCATAAAACGATGAAAAATGATCAAAAGTCATGCTTTTTCTGCAGGTACGTTTTGCCAATTATTAAGTGAAATATACAATCTGAACAATACTGCAAGAGTTAAAAACATACCAGCCTTACTGCAGAATCCGACCCTATGTTTTATTTCTTCAGTTTAGACCTTTAAGTGGTGATTTTATAATCAATTTAAAAAAACCATGATACTTAATTATCTGTTAAGGCTTTACACCAAATAATTCGTTCTTTTCATGAATCTGTTGCCTAAGGTACCTGGTAGAACCCTGAATGGTTAGATTTTTCGGACAGTTAAATTTATCCTAAAAACCTACATTTGACTAGTGACTGGCCATTTCTTTTAAAATCTATGATTAGTATTTTCTACCTGGAAAGAAGATATCCTGCCCCTCCACTCACTGTTCCCCCCGGTACTTCAAGATTATAGTGAGCACCAAAGAAGGTTGGGATATCAGGGTCATGTAGGGCTAAAACATCAATTAATACAATGCAATACAGTGACACCCAGAAACCTGTGGTATAGGGATACGACATTGAGTAATAAATGAAAAATGCGTCTGTGCACACTGCTCAATTGATTGTACAACTTAAATACAACAGTCGTCTTCCTTTTCCACAGTTTTATTGGTTTCACAGTATAAATTTCATATCATTACTATAACCAGGAATTTCTGTTCAAAAAAGGTAATACAAAACAAAGTATGAAAACAACTATGTTTTTATTACAATTAAGTTTGAAATTGCAACTAATTTCGATTATAACTAAGTTTGATTAAAACTAATTTTGATTATAACTAAGTTTGATTACAACACAGTTTGATTACAACTAAGTTTGATTGCAACTAATTTTGATTATAACTAAATGTTATTGCAACTAAGCTCGATTGCAAGTTAGATTACATGTAAGTTTGACTACAACTAAGTTTGATTGCAACTAAGTTTGATTACATCCAGGTTTGATTACAACTAAGTATGATTGCAATTAAGTTAAATTACACAGAAGTTTGATTGCAACATAGTTTGATTGCAACTAATTTTTATTGAAACAAACTTTGATTACAACTAAGTTTAATTATAACTAAGTTTTATTAAAACAAAATATGATTGCAACTAAGCTCGATTGCAACTAAGTTCAATAACAACTATGTTTGATTGCAACTATAGTTTTGTTGCAACTAAGTTTGATTGCTTCTAAGTTTGATTGCAACTAAGCTTGATTGCAACTAAGTTTGATTGCAACTAAGTTTGATTGCAACTAAGTTTAATAACAACTAAGCTTGATTGCAACTAAGTTTGATTGCAACTAAGTTTGATTGCAACTAAGTTTAATTGTAACTAAGTTTGGTTGGAACTCAGTTTAATAACAACAAAGTTTGATTGCAACTAAGTTTCACAGCAACTAAGTTTGATTGCAACTAAGTTTGATTGCAACTAAGTTTGCTAAAAAAGTGTCTTTGATCATAAAATTACCAAGCATTGCATGAAGATTTTCCATTATAACATAAGTATCATCATCCGCCTTCAGAACCCAATCAATCTTAGAAATTATTAAAAATACAAAGTGGTTTAGATATTTAAAATAATTTGATTAAGGTAACTTATGATCCAGACAGCAATATAAAGTTGCACAAATTTTCATGAATTGGTAGACTATAAAGTGCCACACCGCTTTAGCCTTTTGATTTTACCTTACTAACTCAATTAAACTTTTTTGTAGACATATTAATGTATATTTTTTTAACTATAATGTGCGAGCTTGCAATCTTAGTACTACTGTAAAGGAGACCTTCAACTTTTGAATTTAAAAGTTTAATTTAATCTATTCAAAATGTTCTAAAATTTGTAGGTGGAAACCTATTTCTTATCAATTTTTAACAATTAAATTTTTTTAAATGTTAATCTTTAATCTTATAAATTGGAAAGAGGCTTCCGTTCCGATGCCAGCTCACAACTGAGGAGCTTATGTTAAACCACAGCGGACTAGGGTCAATTTGAATTCAATCTGGCCCAACCCTTTGTACC